CTGATTATAAAGAAATGATGTGTAAAATAGCAATCTTTTGTTTGCAGTTAACTTTTGCAGGCTTTTCTGAATGATCAGCTGAGGGGAAAAATAGTTTTGATTCCCAAAATGTATTTTATTGTAGTTAATTGCCTAGTTACATTTTTTTCAGAGTTAAAAACAGTTCTTGTGTCTTGTCTTGTATTTCTACTGTCGAAGGTTTTAGGAAATATTTACATTTAATGGAAACCTTTGCACTTACCCAGCATCTTGATACAAACTTGTGGTAGTGCATTTTGAACTCTTGCTAAACATGGAAAATGTCCTTGAGGTAAAATTTATTATAAAAAAATTTTTTTTAATTGTTCAAAGTCGTTTTGGGGCAGTGGGAAGAGGGTTAGATTTGTTTCCTCTCCTAGATTGTTAGCATGGTTAAGAAGCTAAAAAAAAGTCAAGATAACTGACGGTGCTTGTGCTGTAGAGATTCTATTTATTGCCAAATGTGAAGTTGAACACACGGTTTTACTGACAGTATCTGCTTGCACATCTTGCTACACTGGTTAAATATATTATCTCAAGTGCTCATCATTTTAAAAAAGCTGATGTAGCGCAACCATTCCTGGAGTTTTGCGAAATAAATAGTTTGAATGGGCTCGTATCTGGTTCAGGCAAAATCAGCTGGGGTAATTAAAACTGCTGAAACTAACCTGACTGACCTTTCATGAAATGAACTGGGAAGTTCTTAGATATGTGCTTGGCCAGCAGAAGTGCAAGGCAAAAAGCAGGTTGGTGCAGGAAGGGGGATGGGGATGGCGACATTTTGACTCAGCACCATTTCTTGTGGCGAGAGCAGCTTGTGTGTGCTCAGAATGTGATCTTTCGCATGTAGGAGTACTGCTTGTTTTCATGGAAAAGACAGTCCCTCCCCAATTTTTGTTTGTTCTTAGCAATGCACAAATGTTTATAGGAAGCAAAGCAGTGAATCATTAGAAATGTTCTTTGTACAACGTCTCCTTAAACTGCAGGCTGGTGGTGCGCTGGAATGTGGGGATATCTTTGTGGCTGTTTCTTTCATCAGTCTGATTCTTTTGAAAGCATCTTATTCTGCTTGTATTTTCCATACTGGAGGTTTACAGAAAAATGTTTATACTACAGCTTCAAACATTTACTGAAATGCTAGAAAACCTAAAGAATTTCTGTGGATTCCTTATATTAAGATCAGATGTGGGAATGTCACATTGAATATCTGCTGTACAAAACTCAGATGATTTTAATGGAAAATAAGAATCTGAAATGGTATGTGCCTAGCAGCAAAATAAAAAAGCAGGGGGAAGGGAATGGACAGAGAGAATTATATAATGGGTCAGAATTATACCTCGGTGGTTACAAGTCCATTTCTCTGCTGTGCTGACAGAGAAAGTAATTACTGCATTTATGTCTTTTTCAATGATGTGAAACTAGTTTCTAAAGCAAAGTGCAGCAGTTGAGAGAAGCCTGCAATGCAAGCGACACAGTAATCCATCTGTCTGAAATGTCCTGTGGGCTGAGGCAGTTTCAGCTGCAGGGCAGTTTGAACAAAAATGGGTATTAAAGTGTGTAACAACACTTTGGACATTTTTAATTTTTCAATAATAATTAATCTAGCAACTGAAACTTGGCTTTTATTGATTTTTATTACTCTAAAAGTTAGTTTAGAATATAAATAGCATTAAGATTAGCAATCTAACTGAAGCTGATGGAGAACTGCATAAGCAGGATATTGAATGTAAAGTAGTATTTTGCGTAAGAAAGCCTGTTTCATCGTGAGGCAAAAGAAATGGATTTCCTTATTAAGGCTAATGATTATTGAAACAAAACTTAAGAACTTCAGTAAAAAGAAGTAAAATGTTAAAATTCCGTAGTTACCATGTTGACTTGTGCTCAGGAGGCATTTCATGGACCTGGTTTACATTAGTGTGCGGGTATGTGCCTGTCTGTATGTTTGGAAGGGGAACATAACCTTTGTGTTTGGGAAACCACAGAAGGTCCTTGACAGTGACTAGTAATCTGCTTTAGGGCAGGAAGGCATTGGCAACCCTAGCCAAATGTGCCACATGGGCTGCAAATGGTGAGGATCAACCTGTCCATGACTCTTCTACCTCATCTGTAACAAGTGATAAAAACCCGCTGCTTCTGTGGTTCTCACCACTCAAACTTGTGTTGGACCCAGCTGGCTTGGTGCCTGCTCCCGTGAGGGGAAACGAGTGGGAGCAAGCCCCAGTAGCCTTTAAAGCAGAGGTTATATGCTCCAAATTAGATTTACATGAACTGCTTATCTAACTGGTCACTGCTTGGGAAGAAAGCCTTTAACTTTGGAAATACAAATTATTTGGGGGGGTTGAATACCTTTGGATGGTATAGATTAGCAGTCTTTTGTGATCTTGGACCTTCCTGAGAAGAAGGGAAAGGGTGGGAATGGACACTGCTGGCAAATCCTAACTGAAATGCTTAGTTTAAAATTTTGTGGCTGGAAATTTCGTATTGGATGATGACATGTTGTTCCTGTCCAAAACTGCTAAGAGAATAGTTAGTAGCAGGTGATCTTATATCGAAAGAGAGAAGAACATTCTTCCTCACAGATGTAATTGTATTCAGAGAAAAATATTTCTGTGGAATGCTGATGGTCTCTGGAAAGCTTGTGAGAAGCGTGTATCTGAAGAAGGAGAGAATTTGTGAAGAAAGGAGCACTTGTCTACTTAGTCGCCACAAAGACTTTTTTTTTTTTTAACCTACGGTATTGTAATTTGAGCTTTATGCTTCTCCTTAAAGAATGTTGTTCCCTGAAAATGCAAAGCTTTTTTGAGTTGTGTGAAGATTACTGGTCTCTTCTGTCTCCAGTCGTTTTTCTCCTACACTTGTTAGAGGCTGCTATTTCAAACTCATGTCAAGCTATCTCTTTCCTTTGAGTTTATCTGGGATCTCCATTCTCTTACATGAACAACTTAGAGACCAGAAGAACAATCCAGAAGTTTTCCTGTTTTTCTAACACAGTATCATTCTTCATCTGCATGACATTAGTCTTATGTGCTGCCTTCTGTGAGCCTCGTAGTTCTTTTGGAACAAGACTGGTTTTGTAAGAGCTGAAGATTACTCCATTTCTTGTCACAGTAGTGGCTCATTATTTCTTATTTTGTCACTTCAGAATGGATTATTAGGATAATGGGATAAATTAGGATACAGACTTAAGCTTATGTAACCAAAATTTTTAAGCCTTGCAGTTGATAAAAGATAGAGGATGTTGATTTAAAGATGATCTCCTAGAATGTGCCATGGCAGTTTTTTAAAGGCTTTGTTAAAAATGGACCTGAGAGAACCAAATTAAATACTTATTTATAATTATTTTATTTGAAAAGACCACTTACTGAAAGTCTTTTTGAATGTATAATGATTCAGCTGTAATCTTTCAAATATGCCTGTTTCTAGTGATAGAAGTAGACAGGTCTACACCAGTTGCATTAAAATGTTGGTTAGAAGTAGACTGGTGAAATTGCATTAGTATTCTGCCATGAGTGCTGTGAAGAATTTAAATGGCCTTTATTCAGGTTCACTTATGTTCTCTTTATTATGTTCACTTTTAGAAACATGTAAGTTTCTAGTTTGTCACTAGAAACATGTAAGTTTCTAGTTTTATCACCATAGTGTTTGCTTTGGAGCAGCTAAAGTTTTTTACATGCTAGTGCTATTTTCAACTAGTAAATAACACTGGTTTTCTTTTTAAAAAAACAAAAAAATACTACATCTAGCATTCTTATTATATGCTTTTGACTAGTTTTGTATCCCTTGGATAAGATATCAGAGGTCGTCAGTATCTAAGCCTCAGAATAGTGATTTTGGTTTTTGTGCATTAGAAACTCCCATTGAAGTAATTTGACATTCATCTTTGTTCTCTTGTAGCCTGTTCTCTGTTTCCCAAGCAATTGCACATTAATCTAGAAGCTTTTTCTGAGGTATTAGAATGGTTAGTTCCCTGTGTTTTTGTAACTAGGTCTCACACACCTCTTGTTTTAATGCAGAATGCTGGCAAATAGCTTATGATGTTGTGGTCAAATTTTTTGGGACCTTCATGTCTGCTTCAAGCTGGTCTTCCAAACATGAGATTGTGGGTTTTTTTCTTTCTGTAAATTTGTGTACATTAAACTAAACAGTCTAGCCATAGCTGACCTGGTCCAAAGCTGGTTGAGTCCTCACATTTCTACGTTGGCCTCAGTGTGACTTTGAGTTAGAGCAGAGGCAGTGTTACCAATATTTATTTATTTATTTACTTTTCCTGTCTCTCACCTGACAACAGGCAGTGCTGTAGAAACTTAATCCTTTTGAATCAAGTATTTCAGCAAATCTAGTACGAAACATTTGTGTTGAAGAGCCAAAATGTTATATATGTGTTAATGGTTAGTAATTAATGACTTTCCAACTAATTTAAAAATGACTAATTTTCAATGGTAAATTTTCAAAGATAAAACCAAAAATAAGGAGAGCAAAATTAAGATGGGTGAGACTGACACTTCAATCTCAGTAGATGCCACTTTGTCAAAAAAGATCAGCTGATGAGTATAATTAACTTTTTTTCCTTTTCTGTACTTCCTCAAAATCTCTTATGTAGTGGTAAAATTATTGCTTATGACAAGCGGGATTGTAGAGTCCTTCAAATAGAAGGGACCTCAGGTATAGTCCAAGCTCCTGCTCATAGCAGGATTAGCACTGAGCTCGGACAACGTTGCTTAAAGCTTTGTCAAGTTGGATCTTGATTTGATTATTTCTTATTTTTGTGATTAAGAAAAAGCAGTTAGTTGTCAAACTTTATTCTTGTATTGGAGAAATCAATATCCACAGAAAGAAAAGCATTTAAACATTTAATTAAACTGTTCTGAAATATGAAATTAATCTTTGAAAATATTCACTGATGCATGAATTTTGTGAAATATTGGAAGCATGTGAAGCAACATAGAAAAAACTATTTTATAACTGAATATTTCTGGTTTTAGAGCCTCGATGAGTATGAAGATGATGAAGCAGGGCAGAAGGAGCGGAAGAAGGAGGATGCTATTACCCAACAGAATACGATACAAAATGAGACTTCCAGTGGAGATACCCCTGGCTCATACTTATTACAGGTGAGATCTTAACACTTGTTCATTTTGATATTTTACTCGGTTTTAAAACTCTTAACTGCTGCCTTCTTTGTATTCCTACTTAACAGTAAATTATACCCTATATGGAAACAAACATGAAGTTCAGGAGTTGTCACATTACTAAAAACAGGGTGTGAGGTTCCATTCCCCAAACTCAACACTACTGAAAACCAGTTCTGACAACAGAATCCTCTATTTCTGTAGGGACTTTGAAGGTAATGGTGTTGATGTTCACCATAGAACTTACTATTTAATGAGAGGAGGAGAAACCTGGAGGTTCAAGTGAAAAATACTCACGGGTTTAGAATATTCAACTAATTGGAGGTAGACTTTTCAGATTAAGACCCAATTTCCTAATTTAATTTACTGTGAATTAACAAACTTCTAATTACTGATTCTGGGACTGTAACAAACATGCACGCTCTTAGGGAAGACACCCCTTGCCTCTGTGAAATCTCTTCTTTTTCTTTGTTCTCCAATCCCGTCGCCAAAGGTTACACTCAGTCCTGCAGCCCCCGCCTCCATCAAAACATTGCCAGTTATGCCCAGTACACCTCTCCTGCATACTATACTACCTGTGGCAAATGTTCTGCCTCTTTCTATTTGTGCCCTTAGTCTCTTTAGCCTGTCTTGTTTCTCCTCCCTTTCTGTTACCTAACAGCATGTGCAAACCCAGCTGTACACACTGAGGCTATCCAGCTCTGCCTCTTGACTCTGTTAACAGAGGCAATAGCACATGCATAGGGAGAAAAATATATGATAAGAGCAAGCACACGGTCATAGTTTTCAAATCACCCGTAACCAGAGGGGGCATCACTGAATTTAGTGGGTCTGGATGCGCTTTCCTTCTAAAATTTTGCCCAGTCTTTCATATGCTCATGTTAGTGTTTAACATTCAGAAGAGCCTATGGCAAAGAAGTCTACAGCTTAATTACCTGGAATGTGAAGAACAGCCTCCTTTTTGTTTAAGTTGAACCTGTCATTTGCCATCTGTTTCCATGTGATTTTACGAAGGTGTCCCAGTGGAAGACATGGGGAACAATTGCTTCCTCTATATGCCTGAGTGCCGCAGAAAGAGCTTGGCCCCTCTCAGCTGCCTTTTCTCTAGGCTGAAGAATTCTATTTTATTTAGTTGTTCCTTGTACAGGAGATATTCAGTAACATCCTGTACTTTTTCCGGTTTGACTATGTTTTATTTGGGATCAGTAAACAGAACTGAAGAGTTCATTCAGTACAGCATGCAGTTGTAGAGTGATTTAATAGTGGTTTTTGTTTTGTTCTCTGTTTCTTTCCTGACAATTCCTGATACCTGCCTGTTTGTCTGCTGAGCACCAAGTTTACTATTTTTGTGTGTGTCTACTCTAACATTTTGGAGTTATCAGTGAGCGATAATAACAAGCTCAGAGGCTGATGCGTATGCAAATTAAGAAGCATTTTTACCTTTTTTTCTCGCTTTGTGCTTATGTACACCAAATTTCATCTCCTGTTTCACCTCCTAGCTACTCCAGTAGAGAAATCCTGCATGTTTTCACAGTTGACCCTTATCTTTTCTGTTCTGAATAGCGTCTGTGGACATCTCTGCCCCAAATAAACTGAAAAGCACAGGTCCCTGACCAGGTTCCTGTGGAAGTCTTTTGGGTACTCCCATCCACTGCGAAAGCTGACCAGTAGGGTCCACCATTGTTTCCTGTCTTTTCACCAGTGACTTATTCACAAAAGGATGTTGGCTCTTATTCTAGTGTAGCTTAATTTCTTTAAGAGGCTTCGGGGAATGCCTTTTTAAAATTCAGTAGGCTGTCAACCAACTTTCTCTTCTGGACATTTTTTTACTTAAAAAAGCTGTATTAGATTTGTAAAGTGTAGCTATTTTACAAGTGCCCTGGTGACTCTTCCCACAGTGTATCGTATTTACTCACTTATTCCCTAACTGTTTTAGACTTACTAGCACCACTTTATTCAGTATAAATATCAAGTTTACTAGTCTGTAGTTCTCTGGTCTGCTTCAAAATCTTCTTAAAGATGGTGGTTATGTTAACCACTGATACTAGGGCAGTTTTAAGTGACAGATTGTATAGGATCTTGAGTAGTTTAGCTATTACATTTTTCAGTAACATCAGTAGTTTCTTCAAAGCTCAAGGAGTCAGTACCTTCTCATTCTGGCAACTAGCTGCTTTTTCCATTTTGTTAATTTGTTTTTAAGTTCTACCAGTGCTTCTGTTTGAAACAGACCCTTTGAGTCTTCCATGAAGAAGTGCTCTGATGTGAGACCCTTACCATGCTTTTCCATGGTGAACAGCAACAAAAATATTTCTGCAGAGAAACTGTCTCCTCTGCTTGTGCCTCTTACAACTTACCTATTGTCTTTGCAGATTCTTTGGCAGGATTCCTCGTTCTGAAATGTTTTTTATGCTTTTTCCAAGTTGTTTGTTAGACTCTTTCTTATTGTATCCACTCTGGTTTAACTTCTACAGCAAATATTCCAAAAGTTGTCACTTTTAGTTTCCCGTAGTGGTATTATTACTTAGTGCTTTGGCTGTATTCCCATGCCCTGTTTTTTTAATCCATATTTTCTATTCTTCTTGACCAACAATCTCAGTTTCTATTTACCAGGCTGTCTGTATTAATTGTATCCCACATGGTTCCAAGTTTGTCACCTCTGTATTCAAACAGGCACTACTTAGTGACAGGACACCCCTGCTGTGCCCTGTCAACAGACAATACAGAAGAAAGTCCCAGGCCTCAGATCTGGCAAAGACCCAGGGTGGCACATGTACAGAACAGATGGAACCTTAGAAAGTTGTAGCTGCTAAGACTTAATCAGTTTATTACTGACTCGTGTCAACTCGCTTTTTATTAGAAGACTTACAACTTGCCCAATTTGAACAGAATTTGACAGTGTTCTTTCGGTGTTATTTGATGATTTGGTTTCCTTTTGATTCTACTCTATGCAAGTTAAGCCTAATTCTGTTCTTAAAAGTAGAGTTCATGTTTTGGATCAAGAATTCAGTCAGTTCTAGTTGCCATTGACCAATATTTATTCTAGTTCTATCTATTTCTTCAACTTCTATCTACTAAGCAGAATAAATACATTTCTGTAGTTACAGATGTTTTCACTGATTTGTCCATTTATTACCATTTTAACAAATCTGTAAATGTATAATTACTGTGACTATGGTGAACAAGACAGTTATTGACTTCAAGTTTGATGGGCAAATACATTGCTAATAAGGTTTTATTTCCAATCCTTAACCTGATCTTTCAGTTCTACTGTAGCATGTTCAGAAGTTGCTGTTCTCCTTCTCATGGGCAAAATACACATTTTTTTGAAAACTCTGGCTGAATTTGAAGTCCTTGATCCAAAGCACAGAGATAGAAGATTTGTTTAAGAATAGGTCTAAAAATATACCAGACGTGAGAGTATTTTCCCTGAAGCAGAACTAAGCAGAAATCAGCTTCTCAATTATTTTATATTGGAAATACGGCAACCTTACAAGCACTGAAAAACAATTACAATCAGAACTGTTACTTCAGCAAAAGATACTGTGGAAAGCCACACCTCACCAGGTGAATCAACACTAGATCAGCTCCCAAACACAAGTGTTACATCTGGCTCTGACTTCCTTGCTTTATTTTCCTCCTATTTTTCATGCTGCAATTCAGTGGTTCTCAGCTTGAGTCACAGTGCTGTGGACTACTCATTGATGTGTATGGGGATGCAGACTGAGAGTGATAAGTTACATGTAATGAAGCTTAGAACTCTTACAAATTAGCTAAAAATTTGTAATGCTAAGGCCAAGCATAGTTAAAGTTACTACTTTAACTAGGAATCAGTGGAGTTTGGCAATTATATAAAACTAGCTCTTGCTTAGCAGAGACGGTAAAATTGAAAATGTTGTGAAACTATTTTGACAGCAATGTCTTTCTTGCAGCTGGACAGAAACGATACTGTGTTCAGGGTAATGAACATCTTCTCTCTTCTTAATTGAAGAAAGTGTTAGTATATATGCCGTGTAAAGAAAACTTGCATCAAAGAACCTACAAAATTTGGCTGGAAAAATAATTGGTTTACTGATGATTTTTTTTTAAGTCTCTTGGAGGACTTGCTGAGTTCCAGAATGTGGACAAATGCTAATATTGTGCTAATGCTCAAAAAACCCCCACCAAAACCCACCATATGCAAGGCCTTAAACTTTACATCAAGGCATTCAGGTTGTGCTGATACCATGGTCACCTGCCTCCTGGAATTCAGTTGTTTGGAGAATATTTTAGGAGACTAGATGCATAAATATGTGCCCTTCTTGGTGTAATCCTGTGGCAGTAGGGTTAACATAACTTCCATGTCATTATAGAAGAGATACCCGAGTGTGATAACATGTTGTGGTGTCTGTATTACTTTATGGTGTTCTTGGAAAATTGGGGAGCAAATTGGGAAGGCTGAGAAGATTAATCCAAAGCCAACATAAAGCCTTGCAGTGGGAGGCACGTGTGTAGGTCCTCCATCCCTTAAAATCTTCAATTCACAGCTAGCTGTTTTTCTGGAAATTATGCCATAATCACACAGAACTGTCATTCTCAATACCTTGGAAGGAGTTTGAAATCCTTTGCTTCGTGTTATCTTTAGTTCCTTTCTGCTCACGTTTTATTTCAAATGTTGTAGTGTCTATGAACGCTAGCTGTTGTGCTGTGCACTGTATGAACACACTGCAAAAAATTTCATCAGCTGTGAACTGTTTGACATGTAAGGGTAAGATAAGGAAATAGTTGAGTAAATATGTATTGGCAAAAGCACCAAGCAACAACAAGGTATTTGAGATCTTCAGAGTTATTTTTGAAATTGGCATGGAGATAGGGTTTACTGTGTTCTAGGTGTCTGTTTTTCTCCCCACTGATGACAAAAGGGGTCTCACTAGATCAAATGTAGGCATCTAAAATTAGATTGGCTGAAGCCTTTCCTCTTCCTGGCAAACCTGGACCAAGCATGT